TTATTTGTATAATAATTTTTATGTAAAAAATGTTTATGCTACTTTTTCCACTTCAGAATATTAGCCTATACCTTGTATGTCGATTGCATTTATTTGGAAAAATAAAACAAACATAGCTAAATTATATTATTATTACTTCTAGATGCCGGGAACGATACGCGCCGTTGAAACTGGTAATAAGAGCTATGGTAAAAGAAAGTTATTAAACGGGAAAGTCGGTTATTTTACATTTCCTAAAGATCCAATAAAAATATCGATTCGTAATTGTAAAAGAAAAGACAAATTCAACCACGATTCTCGTCACGTTGGCTCCGATCGTTTGGCAGAAAATGCTTTCGAGAGACGTTTAAAAGCTGAATTATTAGATTTATTACCCAGACCTGGACTCAAGAAAACTTCACTACGACAGTAAATTAGGAAATACGGAAAATGAAAATATTAATCGGTGGAATGAAAGAAAGAATCGTTTATTAAAAATAAATAAAAAAACAACTGATAGGAAAACTTTCAGATGTAAATAAACGGGACAAACCGGAAGAATCTCTTAAATGTAACGATTGTAAAACTTCGGAAGATCTTAATTTTAAATTAAAACGTGGAAATTCTATTTTTAAAATGGAGATTGAACGTATTGAGATAAGAATGAAGCGATCCGAAGAAATCCGAAATTTTGGAAAAATAAAACTGTCATCATTCAAAGACAATAAGAAAAACTGAAAAAACGAATGAAAAAAAATAAAATGGATTTTGTTATATCAATATTGAAAGGTACTGTACCTTTACAGAAGCACAAATATATAATCTGCTGGAGAGAAAAAGGAAAACGGAAGAAAGAAGATACGAATTTGTCATTTACTTTGAGATATTTAAGCATAAGATCATATTTATACTTAAGAAATCCAATGAATATTTCGTTACCCGCAGTTTCGACACTTCGAAGATGGGCTTCAAAAATAAATCTTTGTCCAGGCGTATTAAATGATGTTATAAACATCGTATAAACATCGTAAAAATTAAAGGCTTTGAACTATCAGAAGAGACAAATACTGTATTTGACGAGACGAAGGTAAATACTCTATAAACTGTACTGTATTTATATTGATGAAACCACATAATTCAATAATTATTTTAATTTTCTGTTTTAACGTTTTACTGATATTTCGGCTAAAGCGTATATACGAATATGATAAAATGAGGGGAATAAACTTATTGGACTCAATAATCAAGTTTTAATAATGATGGCGGGAGGACTATTTGCACCACGGAAACAACCATTTTACATGAATTTTGATGTCAAAGTGAAAAAACAACTTTTATTTAGTGTTATTTCAAAACTGTAATTAATTTGTATTGTGTAGGGTCTATGGCATTGTTGTTTTTAGGTTTCGTGTAGGTGATGGCTTTAGTAAAAATTTTGGCATGTCTTGTGGATTGATGATGATGCGCGTTAGGTGTTTAGCTAGTTCTTGGTACAATGATGTAATTTTTTTTTTACCAGAAATTATGAATGTTTTCTACACCAGGTGTCTTCCAGCTGCCTTCCAGGTGTCTTCCAGTCTTCTGTTAACAAACCTAAAAAGACAGCCAAACGCTCTCATTAGTATTGCTAGGAACACATACGGCGTTGGCCCTAATGCTACTAAGCTTATTTACAAGGGTGCAATTCAGCCAGCTCTCCTCTATGCCGTACAGGTCTGGGGCCACGTGGTCGCCAAAGTCCATAACCGTAAAAAGCTGTTATCTGTTCAAAGGATTGCACCTCTTCGCATTTGTAACGCTTATGGAACCGCACCGACTAGTGCCCTTTTGTTAATGTCAGGGTTGACCAGTATCAATTTAGAAATTAAACACATTATTTGGCAGGAAAATATCGTCACCTTACCCTGGCGGGATTATAGCGACCTTGATGTCGACAAAATGATTAGAGTAGATAAGATTTCTCCCGGTTTGACCTCGATCGATGATATCAAATCATTCTGCATCGATAAAACTACCCTCCCGAGTTACGATTACCACCCCTCCCATCAGCTTGACCCTGACGTTTACTTCGAAGGTCCAGGTGATCGTCCCATCTTTAGGATTAACACTGACGGTTCCAAGATGGGTGACGAAGTGGGTGCCGCTTTTGTAGTTTATTCCGACTTAGGCCGCGAGTTTCACAACGCTCGCTTTCGTCTAGGTACACACTGCTCGATAGCACGGGCGGAAACTTTAGCTATTTATATGAGCTTAATTCGCATTAGGCGTAGGAAGGACCAAAGACACTACTTACACTATTGCATTTATTCTGACAGTAGGGTAGCTTTACACAGAATTGCAAACTCTGATAGCTGCTTAAAACTCATCCATCTCATACACCACATTCTCAGACACTTAGACAACAACATTAGAATAGATTGCCAATGGATCGCGGGTCGTGCGGGGTTCTCGGTAACGAGAACGCTGACGGTCTTGCCAATCAAGCTGCAAAGTCTTCAGTCACTAGTACTTACAGTTACATTTCTACCTCGTACATCAACAACCACGTCAAGAAGCAAATCATTCTCTGGCAAGAGAGGTGGAACCGTGACACCAATGGTAGGCTCACCTACACTTTCATCCCCAGGGTTGACACTACTGCGATTCTTCGCCACTTTTACCCTAGTTACACCCTCACTTGGGTAATTACGGGGTACGGCAACTTTAAGCAATACAGTAATACCTCGACTTACGCTACCCCGACTTACGCGAACCCGGAGTTACGCGATTTTCAAATTTTGTCGATTCGTCTTTTGTTTGAGCGCCACGCAACTCTCGATTACTCACTCCCCCCACACTATTGTTCAGCTTACATGTTCGGACGTGTCACACGGAATCGACGCTTAGCTACAATTTATTTTGTGTTATTTATTTCTGTGTTTGTTATATCTATGGAGACTCGAGAAACTCTATATGGTGATTTCTTGTAACCGTGAACGAATCAAAAGACGAGATAAGATTAACGGGAACATTTATTAGCTTACATACATCCGACTTGGATTTTACACGAATTGCGAAATTATACCCCGACTTACGCAAATTCGAGTTACTCGGTTATCGCTCGGTCCCACCTATCGCGTAAGTTCGAGGTATTACTGTACTTGCATAAAGGAAGGGTTCGTCAACTTCCAAAAACTGAATGAATCATCTAATTTATCATCATGGCAATTCAACATAAAAATGGTGTTGATAAAGGAAGATCTGTGGCAGCGATCGAGACAGGTAACAGGTCGCGATCCTACGGCGATGAAAACACGTTGTAATTGGAAGGGCGTTGGGAACAATACCCTGACAGTTGGGGACCACACGAAAGTCGATATTCAGCATTGTACAAGTGCCAAGAAAGCGTGGAAAACTATAGCAAATCTCTACAAACATAAGAGTATGCTGAAAAGTCTGTAGACGAAAAGAGAACTTTATTCCATCTATTTTAACACGTGCTCGGGTATGGTCGCTAATATTAATCAATAAAATACAAACTCTTATTGACCAATTGAGGAAAATCGGTCTTACGGTCGATGACCAGGAACGTGCCGAATTATCATTGATGCGTCTACCGGAGGAATACGATAATTTAATGACAAATTTAGCGATTGCCGCAGACACAAAATTAACCTCAGCTGCAGTTAAAGCTAAACTGCTGCAACAGACTGCCATAAAAAATGAATGCAGTAATACTAAAGGTCGAGAGGATGGTGGATCGGACTTAATGAAGATTTTTACTCGTTATTAACATTTACAACTTTTAATAAAATTCATTTCTACCCTCAAAATTAAGTCTTTGCCATTTTATGAAAACTAAAAATGGCAAAGTGGCAAAGACTATTTATGAGATTTTATTATAAAAGTTTTTTATAACAAAATCTCATAAATAATGGTGCCGCACACAAATTTATTTTTTAATTAAGAGCTCATAATAGCCGGAAAAGTTACGCAACTCGTTGCTGGATGTTTTTAAGTAGATTATTTCGGTGGAGTCGATCGGTACGAAGATGACGAATTCGTTCTTAAAGAATCGTGTTCGTGGCCAAAGATAGAATATGACGACACCTTTTCTTAATAACCCAATTTTTAACTCTTAACTACACAAAAGGATACAAATCACTTAAAGCTGAATTTTGTAGCAAGTGGATGAATGGATCCGAAAATTTTGGCAAACAGTTCTTCGCAAAATACTTTTTCCTAGCAAGAGAAATTTAAGTACATTAAAACAAACTATGACACTCGGTCGTCGTATCGTTGTACCGACTAAGAATGTACTGTACGTTTTATATGAATTTTATTCGTCATTGCGTAGCATCGCTTCAAAGTGCTGCGTGGTAAATTTATTTTCTAATTGTCAAATTTGTTTTATTGTTTTAAAATTCATTTAAACCGTATCTCTTCGTTAGGTGAACCGTTCAAAGTTTACCTTTTCCCCATTTAAAGTTTGGTTACTCTGTCGAGTATCGAGACGGGTTAAAACGAAACGGAAACCTAACAAATATAACGCCGGGCAAAACGCACACGCGCGACCGTACATCCGGAATTCCAACACTTTACACGCGAGTTGTCTATAACAGTGTTTTTCAACCTTCTTGAATACGCGACCCCTTTACAAATTAAAAAATTCTGGCGACCCCCCAGGGCCGTATTAAAACTATATCAGTGATTCTAAAAACTACGTATTTAATTTTCTTTCCTTAAATATCGATCGAAAAACCAATTGTACTGTAAAATAAACAGGCACGGCCTTCTCACTGAAATTCTAGTTGTTTTTATTGTAGTGTAGGACCTACAAACACTTGTCTTTTTCTTTCACCCGCGACCCTCCGTGTAAAGCTTGGCGATCCACCTGGGGGTCGCGACCCACAGGTTGAAAAACACTGGTCTGTAAGATATACGAGAAGCGTAATTATAATATATGGTATCCCGCAACTTACGGCATTCCGAGGTTTCGCCCGTGGATATTTAGCTACAGTTATATTAATGTATTAATTTTAAAGCGAGTCGATAGTAGAAAGAAGAAATAATAGCCACGGGTGGTAAAACGATACTCTCGACTGGGAGTTACTCCGTCCGTCGATAAGCCGTTTCCCTACGATTATTTTGCTTTGTTGTAAAATTGTCTTTCAGGTAATTTAAATTTGCCATTGTTATATATTTAATTAATATTACGCTATTAGGGTTAAATTTAATGACAATAAACGCGGTTTATTTATTTAATATATATATAGGCCTATATACGAAAATATTCCGTTATCAAAAAGTAAGAAGTTTTCGTATACTCCTCGATTTTTCATAGTTTCTAGACTTATACTCGTTTTATATAGGAGGAAACTAACTATGACTAATTAATGCATTGAGAGACAGACAATACTCCATTATAAACGTTTTGGTATGCGAAAATTAGGCCTAGGTGGTCGGGCGGTAAGCCACGGGTCCAGAAAGTCGGCATTAAAGCAAATGGAATTGGGTGGCATCCCGATGGCTAAAAATCTCTCAGGCCAGGTCTGACGCGGTACTTTAATTACCGTCACCCGTTATTTTTCGTTCGTTTGCACTAAAATCTTTGTAAACGCTACTTTATAGGGAATTGTCGGGGGATTCCCAGCTTATTTCACAGCATTTTCTTTATTTCTCAGAATTGGCAAATGTTATCGGAAGCGTATTACGTGGCGTTTGGAACTTTTTTCCTGATTTTGCTGGTTTCGATCAGGTATAAAAACTTCTGGCGGGAAATAATCGACTGGAAGAGAATTAAAGCCTACGGGTACAGTTGGGTTTTATATTTACACATCCTAAAAACCATTAGAGGTGAGTGAATTCAGAGAATTATTTTAAGGAAATTAAATAAATTTATACGATTATGTTTCTATATCACGGCGGATTCTTATTTCTTAGCAGAAAATTCGAAATGCTTTTTGAATTTATACAAAAATAATTTTTGCTTTGTTTTGTTTCAGACGTTCCGTTCGTCATGCCCGGCATTATTCATCGTTTCAAAAGCAGGGGATTTATCTACGGAAACGTTTTTTCCCGAAAGTTCGTATTGCTGTATCACCCCCGACCTTTGGAAGTACGCGAGAAAAATATTTATTCAAATAATTTATTAAATTAACGCGACATTCCGAGTGCAAAATATCTAAATCCGTACGTAATTTTAGAACTTAAACGGAAGTTATTTTCTGGATCGGGCTGTTCCCAGACGGACCGGCTGAAAATGAAACGATAAATTTTGAAATTTATAAAATTAAAAGAAGTATATAAATATACACCTGTACGCGTTATCGTAATGGAAAAGGTCTTGCCGGATAGATAAAGCACCGAACGAATTTCCGCATCGATTCGTAGGATGCCGGTTTTATTTGGATAGGATTAACCTTATTCGTAATGATCGAGTGGAGTGGTACAAACAAATGCTATTCTTCTATGGTATCTATTTCAGAATCTGCTGAGCGATTCGGAAAATATCGACCGACCTTTGGTGCAGAAGTTGGTTCGTGGAATAGGAGAAAATTCCTTAATGTTTAGGTGAGTAACGTCGGAGATAAGTGACTTTTAAACTCTTATTTCCTGCTAAATCTCGATTACTTTCGCGTCTTATTACTCTTAATTCTAAATTATAGTTTCCGGTACACTTACGGATAATAACTTCGGAAGATTTTTCAATATTTGCAGTTTAATGAAAATTTACTTTTTTCCAGTAGACGCATTAGTCCAATTCTGGAATGCATTTAATTCCTACCCACTTTGGAAAATGATGGCTTACCTTANTAGCTAATAAGGTGTGTTTCAAATTTATACGGACACGAAAAAATTAAAGTGAAACCCAAATTTGCTGCATTAAGTGACAAATGTTTTATTAAAAATAACATGGATTTACGTTTTTCCTCACTGCAAAATAAGAATTTTAATCAAACATTAACATTTTGTCACTGAAAATATTATTTTTGAAAATTTTGTACAAAAAACTGTTACATATTTATCCGGACAGGAACTCATTTCATGAATATTGTTTATTTCAAGAATATTGTTTAGTTTCAAGAATTGAAATATGTAAATTAGCTTACATATCTAATTGTAATACAAATTTTTTATGTTGTTCAACGTTCTAAAATGGGTAGAACAAAGAATATATCTGATTATGAAAAAAGGCAAATTGATGCCTATAAATCATAAGGCAAGTCAATAACAAAAATTTTAGCATATATAAATCATCCAAAATCAACAGTTTGTGATTATTTATCAAAAAGATGTTGCTAGGATGTACCAAAATTCAAGACAGGTTCAAAACCCAAGCTTATACCTGGAGATTGAAGACAAATCATCAAGGTTTGCTCCACAAAACAAACATCAGTAAGAAAAATAAAACAAGAATTAGACTTAACTTGTAGCAGCACAACGTTGTGGAGAGTTTTAAATAAATCTCCAACGTAAAAATTCAGAAAAAAAGCTGTAATGCCACCACTTTCATTAAAGCACAAAAGTGACAGACTTGATTGGGCACAAAAACACATGACATGGTCTAAAGAATGGATTGAAGTTTTGTTCAGTGATGAAAAACAATTCATCTTAGATCGTCCAGATGATTGAAAGTATTATTGGCACGATTTAAGAACCGAAAAACAAATATTTTCAAAACGCCAAATGGGTGGGGGATCAATAATAGTGTGGGGTGCATTTGGATTCAATGGAACCACATATTTAGCATTTATAACTCAAAGAATGAATTCAGAGAAGTATCGAGGCATGCTTGAAGATCATTTATTAGAAGCTGGACCAAATATTTGTGGACCAAATTGGATCTTTCAAGAATACAATGCCCCTGTGCATGCCTCTAAATCAACAAAAATGTGGTTTAAACGTAAAAATATTAATCTGATGACATGGTTTGCTAGAAGCCCTGACCCGAATCCGATGGAAAATCTTTGGGGATGATGGTTCGTACAGTTTATGCCAATGGAAAGCAGTTTTCCACAATTCATGATTTGAAGGCAACAATTTCAGATGCTTGGAATAAACTTATGATTGAATTCCTTCAGAATCTAATTGAAACAATGCCTAATCGAGTATTTAATGTAATGAAGTTAAATGGTGGTTACATTGGTCATAAAATTGTAAGAAAACTTTGCAATTTGAAAC